TAGGTGCGAACCCTTCTTCCGATGGGTCCTGGCAGCAGGTTCCTCTGCAGGAGCTGATGGTGGCTTTTTCGAACGGCCCAGCCGAGCTTGACGAGCTGACCAAGGAACAGTGGGAGTTTTGATGTCTCGTGAAGACGCCCTGCCTGCCCTTGGCGACGACCCAACTGCGAGCCATTTGTAGCAATAGCCTGCCAACTCCTCCAGTTTTGGGAGAAGAGGGCGGTGAAGCCCCGTTTGGGGGCCCAGCTTCATTCTCCTGGAGCCTCTGCCTGCGAGTTTCAATGGTCGCGCCGGAGCTGTGATCTCTGTCCATTCAGCGAAGCGTGGGCCTGGGTCAACAAAGGTTCGTACGAGGTTAGGCTCCTCATGCTGTTATACCCGGGCGACTCCGGGCTCAGGAGAGACCTGGTGGGCTCTGCAGGATCACTGGTGGAGGGGGCCATACTGACCTTGATCGTCGGGGACGCCTTCTCAGGCAAGGGGGCGGCTAGAGCGATGGCAATGGTCAAGGGGCCGCTCTGGCAGGACTGCGTGAGGGCCAGATTTACGGGGTTCATGCTCTCTTGAATCTACTCCTATGTGCGCTGGTCGGACGCGGCCCGTGGGGCAACCATGAGCACGGCTGTGGCGGGCAATGGTTTGGTTCTGCTGCTGCTGGAGTGTTCCACCAAGCATTATAAGCCTAAGGCGAAGGACCGGAAGGACACCGCGCTCACCTTGCTCTCTCTGGGTAGTGGCCTCACCCAGCCCTCTTGGGGTCGCGTCTGGATGCTCAAGCAGGCCCTCGCAGGATTGCAGGATTCCTTCGTGATCTTGCCAGCTATGTCGCCGGGAGAGAACTTCCTCGAAGGAAGTGACGACTGCTGCCGAGGACTTCCATGTTTTCGTGAAGTCCTGCTCCTGCAGAGCTTCACCGGTTACTTGGAGCAGTTCTGCTCCCACAGCTCGAAAGCAAACGTATTTGTCCCGGGAGGCCAAGAGCGGGACCATGACCTCGATGAGCGTCTTACTCATGGACGTCGCTGCAGCCCCGAGCACGGGACGGCTTCCTTATTGTTCTGGAGGTGCCCTTGCGGAGACCATCGTGAAGGCGGCCAAGGTTGTGAGTGCGGTGAGTCGGGGAGTTTTTAGTCAGACCTTCTGAGGCCGAGAGGGTCGCTAAGGCTCTGCAAGCAGATCCCGCTGACCTCGGGCGTTCTCCCGCGACTGCAGCTGAGGATTCGCCGGCTGGGGAGCCCCAGGAAGGGAATATCTCTGAGGGAGCTCGCACAAAAGGGGGAAAAAACTAGAGACCGGGTCGATTGCTGCGACCCAATGGTGCGAGTGCGTGAGCCTCTGACGCTACGTGACGGTAGTGAGTAGACAAGTCGGCTGAGGTTTGTCAGAGTGCGTCTTGATTTGAGGCATTGAGCGAGTTGACGTGCGCTCGCGGACTTCTGGCTGAGCTAGCCGAAGCGGGGGGGGAGCCGACCCGTGCCGCCTGCTGAGTTCCAGGCCGGCAAAACTGATGGTTTGAGAGCCAGGGATTCTCCCCCTCGTCATGCCCCGTTGACTGTGCTGGGTTGAAATACGAGACCGTGCTCTGACAAACGGTGCCGGCCGAGATTGCCGGCTTCTCGATATAACGCCTGGGCTCGGCGGTGTATGACGGCGAAACTGAAGATGTGCCGGCGCCCACGGTTGTGTTCGCCGTGGGCAACCCGTGAAAATCGGTTTATGCTGTTGCCCAGAAGTTCGGTCCGCTGCATTGTGTTCAGGTTCCAGACCATGGCGGCGGCTGGCCCGCGGAGCTCGGCGACATCTTCGAGGAGACGAATGGCTGGGCTTGAGTCGGTGCTCGCGCTCATCGAGCGGGCCTAGCGTCCCAGCCCCAGCGAGGTGGTGTCCCAAGAAAGTCGGGGCGGCATCGTCATTGGAGCCAGTGACGATGGGTGCTTCATCTGCCTTTCCTTACCCAGAGCATCTGCTGGATCCAGAAAGTGCAAGGCTTGCCGCTACGGAAAGCACATGTGCGATTTCAGGTGGGTGCAGAGCCGAAAGACCGTACACCGCGTGCAAGCGTTGACTCCGCCTTCATGCTCCGAGGGCCTTGCTCGGCAAATCTTAACTCAGAGCGAGCCTGTTACGCTGCTAGGTGTGAGCCTTTTTCAATGCTTTGCCCCACGAGCAGGTGGCCACCTCTCCAGCCCGGACATGGAAGCCTGGAGAGCTTGGGTTTCCCTCTGCCGTCGAAGGCCCTGCTGGCCTCCAAGGCGCGTGCCCACCTATATGTCTCCGGTGGCACCTCAACTACGTTTATAATTCTACCGGCTGCCATGCTTCGAACTCCTGTGCCGTGAATTCTTCGCCACCGGAGTTCCCAATTCCCGCTGAGAGGCCGCGACTGAGCAAGTATCAGCCCCTCGAACCCGCGATGCTCCGCGGCTTTCTGGCGCCAACTGAGGGCTGCAACCCCCTGCTGCCGCAGGGCCCCTCCTTGGCGCAGTGTCCGCCTCTCATGACGACCGTCTTCTAAAAGCCATGGGACGGCGTCGTCATTGGAGCCAGTGACGATGGGTGCTTCATCTACCTGCTCCGCAACAAGGGCATGTGCCGGTTCCTGAAAGCGCAAGTCTTGCCGCTTCGGAAAGCACATGTGCGATTTCCGGGGGCTGCAGAGCCGAAAGACCCACACTGACTGCTGGGCTGCCTCCCTTCATGATCAAAGGGCTTTGCTCGGCAAATCCCATCTCACAGCAACTTGTTGCGCTGCCAGGTGTCGAGCCTTTTTCGATACCTTGCCCCGGTGAGCAGAGCGATTCGGGTGCCCAAAGGCGCAGACGCGTCGCGTAGGCGTGCTCGGCCCGCAACAAGCCGGCCACCTCTCCGGCCCAGACATGAGGGCCTCGAGAGCTCGGGTTTCCTCTGCCGTCGATGGCGCTGCTGGCCTCCCAAACTCGTGCCCACCTATGATGATTCCGGTAACACTTCAACTACGTCTAATTCTACCGGCTGCTATGCTTCCAGCTCCTGTGCCGTGAATTCTTCGCCGTCGGAGTCCCAATTCCCGTTGAGGGGCTGCGGTCGATCAAACCCCTCGAGCCCGCGAGTTCCGCAATTTTTATTTTCGACGCCAACTAAGGGCTGCAACCCCCTGCCGCCGCAGGGCCCCTCCTTGGCGCAGCGTCCGGATGGGATCGAGTGCCTTTCAACACGCGAGTGTTTTCTCCATTTTGGCTGTTCCATAACCAGGTCAAGGTAGGCCTTGTCTCTTTCCGCGTTGGCAAGCTCTATGCCGCAGCAGCGCTTCACCATATGTGCCGCCCGTGCAGCTGTGACACCAGCTTCTTTTCTTCAGCTGGGCGTCGTTCGTTCGGCAGCCCACGGCAAACAAGGCGTGCTTGTGCTCTTCGCTTCGCGGCAAGCTGGTCGCCCTCCAGCCAAACATGACGATACTGGAAAGCTGAGGTTTCCTACCGCCGTTGGAGGCCCTGCTGGCCTCCAATGACGTGTGCACATCTATGATGGTTCCGGTGGCCTCCACTGCGTCCACTCCTGCCGCGTGTGCTTCGGTTCCTGTGCCGTGAACTCTTAGCCATTGACGTCCTCAATAGGAGGTGTCATCGCGACTGAGCGAGTCGCACCTCAGAGCCCGCCGGTTCCACAGTTTCCGCAACGCCAACTGAGGGCTGCAACTCCCTGCCGCCGCAGGGCCCCTCCTCGGTGCCAGGTCTGACTGACAAAAGCCGCCAGCCTTGCCGCGGCTGCCGTGCACCAGAGTTGCCGCCTTTCACGATGCTCCTTTTTCGCCTGACCTGTGCCCTGCCCTCCGACATGCATTCCGAAGCCCCTCTAACCTAGGGCTTCCTAGCCCTGATGCCGTTCCGGCCGCCGCCTCCCACTCAGGTGCGTGTCGCCGGAGGCTGCCTACAAGGTTGTATCCCGGGGCGCGAGCTCCAAAACGGGGGGGATAATTCTGAGCTGAGCCCCGGCAATGCTGAGCTGAGCCCCGGCAAGGGCGCTAAGCCTAAGGACTTTGAGCCCGACCAGCCCCGGCAATGCTGAGCTGAGCCCCGGCAAGGGCGCTAAGCCTAAGGACTTTGAGCCCGACCAGCTGAAAGCCCAGGCCGTCCTGCGCCGCCGTGCTTTGTAAAAAATGAAAGGGCTCGCTTCGGAGCAGGACCACGAGGCATGGAAGAAGAGACGGTCGAGGAAGTGGTCGCGGGCCTCATCTCGTGACATACCTCTCCGCGGCTTGGTGCTCGAGGGCGAACGGAACCCTCATATGCGGCGCCAGCCTCCCCTGCTGGGGGAAGGCGCTGGCCCTGAGCAAGGCTTACCGGCAACTGAGCATACGCGTGCTGCTGACGAGCACGCCGAGAAGGTGGTGGAAGCAGAAATTCCGCCTCCACCACCTTCTCGGCGTCCTTAGGCGGCCGGGTGCCAGCGCATTGGTGGTGTCAGAGCGTGGTGTCGGCGTATTTTGCGGGCAACAGGGTTCGTCTGCTCCGCAATCACCCGTACATAGGTGTAGATGTCAGCACCAGTGCTTTGGGTGGTGTCAGCGTGTGGCAGGACTGCGGTCGTGTCAGACCGGTGGCAACCGAGAGGGTGGTGGGAGCAGAAAAACTCTGCCCCCACCACCTTCACGGTCGCCTTGGGCGGCCGGGTCCTCTGCTTCTCCCTCGCCTTCTGCGCGGCTGCCGTCGGTGCCCTGATCCAGCTCATGGCACCGACTGCAGCGGCGCAGCCGGCTCCATGATCTTGGCGGTGCTCGAGGACGAATGGGACCCTCACGTCTGGCGCCAGCCGCCCTTGCTGGGGGAAGGCGCTGGCCCTGAGCCAGGCTTACCGGCAACTGGGCAAACACATGCTGCTGACGAGCACGCCGTGCTTGGGTTCCCTGCCCGAAAGGTGGCTGAGAGTTCCACCTAGCGAGGAGCCTCCCATTAAGAGCGGCAGCAAGTGTGCAAGAATGCAACCAAGTGGTGCTGGCGACTTTAGCTTCATGACTGTAAAGTTCGGGGCCACTGCAACGGGCTATTACGATGTCTACATCTCTACAAGCTTCCCTCCGCCGCGGGCCCGCTCGACAAGACCCTGAAGAGGCGGCTGGACTTGCTGGGACGGGCTCACGCTGGGTCCGGACGGAATTGCGTGCCCTTCT